AGTAGTTACTTAAGTATGGTCCTTTTAAAGGACCAACTATGAGAAGAGATCATTTGCTCAGCTTTACTGGAACACCTCATTTAAGAACTCAAAAATCAGAAAGTGTCTTCTAATGTGGCTATGGATCCTAGATAACCAGAAGACATTAGAAATCAAGGGGCTGCCTGAATCACTGCAAAAACTGTCTGCCAAACCCTAGGTTTACACTGTAGTCAAGTTGTATGTATACAAGTCATAGATGGTAGGAGGGGATACAAGAGAAAAAAAAACCTGAAACAGCCCTATGCAGTAGCTGACACAGCAAACTGCTAGAGGAAGGAAGGGAAGTGATAACTAATGGAAAAGGCTTCATTTTTTTTTTCCAATCCTTTCAATACAACCACTGCTTCAAGACTCAAGGTTTACAACAGCCTATTTGAGACCTCACACTTCCCTGTCCCAAAGGGTTAGACGACCTTCACTACTGGAAGTCTTCATTCCTGAGCTGAGCTGAGACCCAGGCAGACAGCTGCAGTTTTGCCACACTTAACGTCTGATCCTGAAGGCAACCAGGGCCCACTAGAAAAACCCCTGGCTACGCTGGCTGCTACTCTAAGCCTACAACATTCACATGCTTCCCTTCAATTCTCCAGTTGGTTTAGAGACAAGTTCATCTCCCAGACAGGCTCTCACGGAAAAGAGCAAGAAACAAGGGATGCTTCAGAGAGGTCCCAGGGCTGACCACTGGTCAGATACATTGAGTCTTTCAACCCACAGAGCATAGTGCAAACACCATTTTTGCAGTTGACATTCCTGCAGGCCATGCAGCAGTACCATCTGCAATGTGTCAATAATTTGAAGCAACTAGAGCAAATGGCTCTTAATTAAGGAGTTTCACATTATGGGAAAAGGAAACTGGATCCACCTCATAATGGATCCTAGCTGATTTTCAATGTACTTTAGGATGTCTAGATGCTACAGTAAGAATTGTCTGACATGCAGATAAACCACCTGAACAATGAGACCTCACCCAGGGCTGGAAAGGGAAGAAATGAAAACCCCTTTCCTCAGGTTGAGAGGGGTGGCAAACAAGCATGGCAGCCAAATGGGCTCTCATGTGGTTCTGAACTCTTACTTACCTGCCTCAAGTACAGCTGTCCACAGAGCTGGAAAACCCAAACCTAAACTATCATTACCTGGTCTGCACCAACCACATCAATATTGACATCATCACTTGTGTCTTCTGCCTGATCCTCTACTGAGGCATCTTCTGTCTTGATCTCATCTTGTCTGAAACAAAAAGCCAAGTCTTGAGAAGCTATTTACAACAGAGGTTCTACATTGCACAACTTTAACTTAAGGCAGAGTAGTTCACAAATTTCTCTGTTTCTGAGATACCCACATAAGGTAGCCCACGTTTCTGACCCATTATTTCCCAGATACAGAAGAGCTCATGGACCGAGGAATTTCTATTAAAACAGTTCAGAAACAAATCATCAATCTAAAAAGGGGCTGAGTCTGCAACCTTCTACATGTTTAACTAATTTTTGTTCTATTTCATTTTTATTTAACAGGTCCATGTGAACAGGTGTCCCATGACCTGGGAAAATGCGCATCTTTCTGGGATTTGTATTTCATCTTTTAACCTACCAGCATAGGGAAATGGCATGTAACATCTCAATAAATGAACTGTATCATGGAAAAGGATTTCCAGTTGAGCACTCCGAGTGTGTTACACAGCTGTAGAGTACAGGCTCCCTATTTCTGCAATACTTCCAGTTCCACAGGGTTTCACTCATGTGTGCGTGTACATGCTGCACACAGATATGTACCTTCCTAAAAGAAAGTCACTAGCAACATAGCACCTAGTAGCAGATCTGCAGAGACAAGAATCCTCTCTTTCACTCTCAGAGAAGCAGAAAGCAGTCATCTCCAGCTGCAGCAAACAGCCAGGGAATAACTGAAACCATGGGCTTCTGATCAGGACCAGAGACAACAGAAGTGGGACAGGGAATCCTCTTTCTTTCTTGTCTTTTTCTTCCCCTGCTTGATAGTACTCCAGGGAATAACGGGAGCCGTGGGACAACAGGGAACAATCATGCTGAAGCAGCAAATGCAGATATTGGTCTGAGAAAACCAAAAACACAACCTGTCCTTGGGACAAAGCCTGTAAGACAGACAAGAGGTGTACACAGTCTGTCGCTTTGCACAAGGAAGTATTATATTAAGCAGTGGCAGAGGAAGGCAGAGAGACTCCAGGCATCAATACCAGGACAGTGAAGGAGCTTGTAAAGCAGAAAACTCTCACCTGTATCTTCTCTGCAGCCCTAGTGGACAAAGGAATGGCAAATGTTCTTGCAAGTGCATCTCTCGAGATTTCAGCTTCTTTCTGCTTTTCCCTGCTGCAGAGGCAAGCTGGGAAGCACACTGGAAATCTGCATCTTTGCTTGCTGCTTCAGTATGGCTGGTTTCAGGCAAAGACCCTGGAACAGACAGTGAACAGATCTTGTTCTTCAGCCTCATCCTCAGAGGTCATAAGATGACCATTTCCAAAAGCAGCATTCCTTACTATGGGGAAATAATGGAGGCCAAGCTCAAAGAGAGACTTGGAGCAAAGCATTCATTTGTTGAAGGACGCAGCTAAAAGCCACACAAGAGAAAATAATTTGCCCACTGGGCATTTTTGCAATTAGATTTATGATCCCGTCCCCAGCCTGTAAGTACTATCAGCACTGCCAAGTCTACAAAAATCTCAAGAAAGGAGCGCCTATGGGACACAAAGGAACAAGCTGTTTGAAGGCAGGTCACTGAAAAGAAAAACTCTGAGAAAGAATGAGAGAAATGAAAGGATGCTCTGGAAAAAAATACCCTTTCCTTCCCAAACTGTATGTATCCATAACACATAGCATTTTTACTGGCAACTGCTTTCATCATGGCTTTACTACATTTATCGAATCCCCACCATGCTGGTGGGCCAAATACCTCATTACAGATTGGAAAGCCATGAGAGCTGCTAAAGCCTGGGTTCAGCCCACATGACTGTAACCCTGAAGTTAGGTGCATAAACCTGCAGGCTCCTTAGAGATTCAACAGGGAGAAAGATCCCAGGGGATAATTCAGCCCAGATATCTGAATCACCTTCTGGAAATACCTCTCCTCTCTTGATTATCTACAAGATCATAGAGCAACAATGCCCGTAACTTAAGAACTGGAAGTAATGAACCCAGCCCCAACGACACAAACAAATGCCAGAGCTCAAACAGAGAAGAATACAAGATTATCTGAATACACAGGGTCAAAAGATCAACTTCCCTCCTAGTAAGTGATCAAAAGACCTTTAACAACAACAAGGCTGAAGGTAAAAACCAGAATTCAAACTGGAAAGTCTACAACATCCAACAAACTGTGGTACTGCTAATGCAAAGCATGAAGAAGTGCTGTCCCAGTTTTTGCTGAGACACAGCAAACACAGCTGATCCAGAACAGTGAAGTTTTCATACCATTAGACAATTTCCTTTTAAAAGATGTCTTAGATGTGCCCACGGGGGACCACTCTCCTAAACTGCTGAGGACAGAGCTCTCCTCATCTTCATTTGCCAATAAAGAGTTTCTGTACCAAACCAAAGGCTGCCATTCGTCTCCTCTGCAAGACAGTGGTTCTGCTATATACCTCTGTAAGTAAGTGTACCTAGAGAAAACCAAAAGCAAGCATAAGAAAACTCAGTATCTTTTCCCTCAATATCCAGGGAAGGTATTACTAGAAAGGCATTTTTCCTTAACTCTACAAACAGTTCAGGCAGAACTGTCAATCAAGAAAAGGAAAGGGCATCCTGTTTCCTCGAAATCAAAACAGTGTAAATGCCTTCAAAGCTAAGAACTGCGAAGAGAACTTTAGCATTAGAAACAACATTTGATTCCTACGAACTACAGAGCTACATCAGTCTCTAAAAAGAATTCCTTATGTAGGAAAAGTCACTGCCAATTGCTCCTGCCAGGAAGCAGTTTGAACAGAGCAGTACTGTGAGAGGATGTGCCCCTTTTCCTGGTGGCCTTTTTCTGCCTCACAGATTGCAATGCAAAGGAAAACCCAAGTAAATGATACTCCTTGCGACGCAGTAGTATAGCAGGTTGGGAAATGGGATATTTGGGCCAGAAAGTGTCTGTTTTATCAGAATTAAGGAAAAAAAAACCCACCTTTTTGTACGGTCGTATCAACCCCAATCCAATTCTCTCAGGTTCATAATAAAATTTCAACTGTCTGCAAAAGCAGTTAACACCTCTGCAGTTATGACAACACAGAGGATGCAGGAAACATTAGTTCAAATCCCTCTTCTGCCAGATTCAAACCAGAAACCTGACACTGGGCCTCCCTAAATCCCAGGTGAATTATTTAATTGCCATGCTATCATCTTTTCTGGAGCAAGGAGGTCTCCTTCAGACATTCTTTTTGGAAAATAAGGATATTTCTGATAAAAGTGTTTCTGACCCACTTCTATTCACAATAATAAGAAACGAAAAGCAGTCTGACTCAGGATTAGAAATTGGATATTCACTGCATTTTAGCTACAGCTCATCACTTTAAAATCAAGTCCAGTGTTATTAAAACAGACCCCACCTTAGCCAGGACCAAAAGTGACAGTTTTAACACCAGCCTGTACAGTGTATTGCTTTTTCTTTGATTCAGAGCGTGGCCTGGAAAATATCAGACATTTCATCTGCTTTGCAAAACAAGAAAACCAGTGCTGGGAGGCGGTTAGGGTAAGCATTGACTCTGAAACAATTAGAGTCATGCACCCTGGGGGCCCCAGGGATCAAGAAACCCTGGTAATGGAATTTGTTGGTTTCAAACAAGCACGTATTGTAACTACTGTTTTAGGGTCTACTCCAAATGCTAACAGTGTCAATGGAAAGAGTCCTACTGATTCAGGAATCAGGCCCTTCATGCTGCTTGCTATTCAATAACTCATTCAATAACTGTGTATTTTGTGGTACAGACCCATTGACAAGTCAGCTATTTTACTGCTATAACCTGAGTATTTACAGGAGGAGGAGGTTAAAATCCATATACTTAGATGGTGTTGAAATATACTCCTTTCTAACAAATGCCCATATTCTGTATCTCATCTGTTATAGGTACTTTCACATATGTTAATATACAGACCTGGAGGTCAATCCCATGATTAATAACAAAAATGAAAATAGCCAGATGTTTATTTCCAAAAGTTCATGTTGACTTAAAACATTCCAATCAGTAATTTATGATGCAGCTAGACCTAAATATTTCTAAGAGGAAATATAATCTCCAGCCCCTGCAAGGCATTTTAAACCTCCCAGAATAGAAACTCTAGAAACATAGTCTGAACGTAGTTGTGGACATAACTGCAATTTCCCCCCCTGTGAATTTTATTGTTTCCCATTTGTTTCCAGCAGCAGTGGGTTGGTCCAAGGCAGCAGAAACTAAAGTCAAGGAGCACACCTTGCTAAGTTTTGTATTTCTCATGAAAATTTTCATTGAATAAATCTGCCTGAATGTATATAATACTGTTTTCCTGGAATATACCCACAGGTCAGGAAGTTAAATACAGCTAAAAGAGAAAAATCATCAGGATATAGCCTTAAACCTGCCCACATCATTGATGAAATATTTCTCTCGTGTTTGTTTAGACATGATCCCTGGAGGTAAATTAAGTTACGAAGTTTTTCAAGGATGGATTAACAGAAGTCTACTTAATGCAGAAGTGTCACCACACTGATGATAACAGCAGTTTAAAATCCAAGCCACAAGGGCAGAGTTGCATAGAAATTGCACAAAACCAGTTCTAGTGGTGTATGTCAAAGATTCTGACTGAGAAAAATGCAAGAACAGAAAGGAAACTTATCACCACCTACAGATTATCCACTTTAGACTACCAGGGTCCTAGTCAGTCTGTGTCAAATATTTTTCTTTGATATTTTGCATTTTGGGTTTGAACTCATTTTTTAAAATATAGTCTGGATAGCTGGCAATCAGTAATGCATTTTATTTGCCATAAAAAGTAAGAGGAAATTACACATTTTACTGCTCTTGACCTTTGCTATTTAAAACATGGTTGATGATCCCCAATGGAAGCTAACCTCCAATTTAAGTTTAAAGTGACACAAGGAGCAAACAAGTTATACGGGGCTCAGCAAGATATGGAGTTTTCTTTTTCACTTGCTGCTGGTTTCTTCTCCAAAGTGGAATGTTTCCTGTCAGCTACTAGAGTAATTTGCTCAGAAATTCAAAAAGACAAATGTGTAATGTTTCATCTTACATTCCCAAGTCTTCAAATATGCTCTCAGGAAAAAGGGAATACCTGTTACATATTTTGAAATAATTTTCCCAGTGTCTATAAATAGAAGACTGAAGAGCAGAGATTCAAAAGAAGCAGCACTGACCAGGGAAGTAAAGGCAAAGGTCAGGCAGAAGCAAGGGAATTATTTCCTTCCCAAAGTGAGTTAAGGCAGGTGAAGAAGGCAATAACAGATATAAACATCTGCCTCTCTGTTAGGATGCATAATGCCCAATGATGCCAGAAAAAAGATATTATTCTTATATTATTAAATTTAAATTTTAAACCACTGTAAAACATAGAGGCTTTGAAGTAGACCGTGTCCCATTTCCCTGTAAACAATGAATTCTTAAATTTAAACATCCCTATCATGAATAGTGACATGTGTATCTTTCTATTCCAAACATATTACATGGAACTTGTAATCCAGCCCCGAACTTGTGGAGTTTGATCATTACAAAATAACGATCCACACATTACCTGTTCCTCAGTATTTTTTGCCTTGCTTCAGAAAAGCATTCCTGCTTCTCCACTAGCCACTCAAGCTGCAAATCCTCTTCCCCAAGTTAACAGTCTTCCCCGTAGAAAAATCCCCACATGAGACTGTAACTCTGTCTAAAAAAGGGCTAGAATGGACACTGTAAATATAATTTGAAATAACTGCTACTACAAAATTAAATGGAAAAGAGAACAAACAAGTGACCCTTCAGCCAACAGCTGACTGATTTCAAAAGTTCTCTGAAAAGTTCTTGAGCAATTTATCCAACATTGTAGGTTCAAGCATCCTTTCTACAGGGATTATATAGAACACAAACTGTCTGTGTATGACAGTGCACGAGAACTTAACTTACACTAGCCTTTTGTCAGGCTTTAGCAGCTTGTTGGAAAATTCACTGATGATTAACAGAAAGCTTAATTTAGGAGGCAGGCATTTTCCACCTATTCCAGTAGCTCCTTGAAAGGCAAATTCAATCCCTTCCCTATTGGGAGGAAAAAATAGAGAGAGAACAAAGTAACATCATCAACAACTAAGGAAAGCAATTATCAAGGAGAAAGTGACATTATGTGGTACATACTTGTGTATCATGGCTACAGATTCTCTAGATTTCACCTGGTCCCAGCCAAATGTCAGCGAAAAACGACGAGCGAGTTCTTTAATGTTTGTGAAAGAAGTAGAGGACAAGTCCACACCACTGCTGCTGTCATGGCTTTGTACATGTGTCTGAAACAGCTGCAAAAACAGTCCCAAATAACAGTAGGTAAACCTAAAAGCAAGCAAACTGTCATAGAGACATGGGCACCAAGCAACAGATTGTTCGCACAGACAGAAGCCTTACAAAAGAACAGGTAACTTGTGTACTTCAGCAGTATACATCACTGGAACAAGCACAAGGAAACTAACCGTGGACACTGCTGTCCTTAACAGAGAGGCAAAAATTAAAAAAAATACGTGTACACAGAGAATCGATCGCCGAAGGTGACAGCCCCTCTGACCCCATCTCCTATTGGGACTTCTGAGTCAAGCCCAGGGACTGAAATTTGCCTGGGGATTTTTTAGAAAATCAGAACACAAACATACAGCAGCAAGTTTGGCCACAGCGTGGTCCAATTTCTGTAAGTGAGACAGGGTCAAAAGACAGTCTCAGGCCCAATCGCTACCACATTTTTATCTGCTAACGGAACATGGAGGTAGCTTGTTGCCTTCAACCTGTAAACTTTCAAGGTCAAACAAAGGCCAAATAGGGCCTGTTGTCTATGTGATACGTAACACACAGTCTTGACTGTGTCAGCAGAATATGTGTAGCCAAATGCTGCTTACCATCATCTAAGCTCAGATTTCAGGGGTTGGTTCGTAGATCTAAGCCCCTGGTGATGTGTAAGCAAGGCTCATGTATCAGTACCCCCTGTGAGGAGCCTGTTCTGTGGCTTACAGAGCAACCAAGCTAGAAGCAAGTCAGACCCTTCAGAAGAGCTGCACCTCTTTCTTCCACAAAAAAAATACTGAAAATACAGGGGCTCAGAACTGGGTGGGCCCAGATATATTTGTGGTTTCTCAAATACAGTAGGAATCGAGGGTGATCAGTAAAACACAGAAGAACACCATTAACCTCTGCTTAACAGAGACACATACCCAGGAAACACTCTTTAATCTCAAAGATTACACCAATCCTAAAACTACACCTCTGGTGATTAAAAAAAAATAAACAAACAGTACAAAAAAATTACATTGTAAAACAGATGTAATGATTTGGAAGTTCTAATTATGAAATGCTAAGATACATATGCAGAGCAAGTAAAATCAATGAATTTCTTCCTTTATGTTTTTTAAAGAGTTTGAATGATTATTTCCCAATATAGCTGTCATAAGAGCTCCTAATCTCCTGCCTTAATCTTAATCTTACCTGCTGCAGACAGAGAATCAGTGTCTTGGCACTCTGAATTTTGTTATTGTGCCTCGTCCTGCTTAGTGTTTCCTTAATTATATCTCCAAAATCATTGTAGGTCTATTAATAGCAAGAAAATAAATGAGAATTATCATTCTCCTTCTGTAGCGCTGGGAATACACAGAACATTCGTGTGACAAAAGAAGTTCATAAAACACAATCTCTAGCACACTCAAGTTAAAAGATGAAAACTGGACTTTTCATATTATTTCATACACAAAATAATGGTCTGCTCCTTTACGAGGAATGTAAGGTTTAAATTTACACTGAAATTGTTAAGTATTTATTATAACAAAAAAACCCAAGCATCTTCAGGAGAGGAATATGGAGGTTTTTACATTTAGCCTATCACTTGCCTTGAATCTCATGAAATGAAGATCAAGACCCATATTCAGGTATTTCCCACGTCCTGTTAGCCGGTACAAGGCAAGTGCCCACTCTGTGCTGTACTCAACCCTCCTGAAATGCGCTTCAGAGAGGCTGAAGCTTTACCAATTGTCTAGGCATGTGGACCACATGAAATTTAGGCCATCTGAGTATGGACTGCGTAATAAGTGCTATGAAATGAGTTGGTCATTTCAACATAAGAATGTCTACAGTTAAAAAACTGTCCCACTGATAAACTGCGTTTCTGCAATGGCCTCTTTGGAGGAACCAAGAAGCAGATGTTCAGACACAATATATCCTCCTTTCAACTTGCAGTTACCTTGTCTGCAGTGAGGCACTTTTGCAGAGCAATAAGGAGAGATTTGTGCCATTCCTGCTTGATTTTATAGCCCTTTTACGATTGAAAGGATTCTGAACCATAAGACTATTAACCCCACAGCTTTCCTAAACACCAGAGTCACTTTCAGCAACTAAAATGCACTGATAAGCAAAGCAAGCACATCTAAAACCCTACCTTCATGTAATGCTTATAGATCTCAGCAGCTGCAGCTATCTCCACCACGTTATAGACTATCAGCTTGCAATACGCTGCAAGAAGACTCCGCTTTTTGTGCAAGTCACCCAGTTTGCCGTTTTTGTCCTTTCTCTGCTCCTCTTCTGTTAGGTCTAGGGAAACAAAAACACTGAAGCCTTGTTCTGCTACTTTATTCAAGGTATCTCAATTGTAATAACCGATTTTCATCCAAACTGTACAGACTCAGCTGTTCAGTCAACTCTCTAAGCAACAGAGGCTAGCTTACTTGTGCTCATTTCTGTGTATATCACCACACATTGGTTAATTTCTATTTCAAAGCTTCCAAATGATGACAGTGAAAGCAAATTATTTACATAGTCTTCTACTCTGATCTCCACAGGAACTTCCCACTTCTACTAGTCAGAATCTCCTTGTACAACACTGTTCACAACTACAGAACAGAACCAGAGTGCAGAATAAAAAGCACAAACGCACCGAACGGAAGAGATAGACAGACAAATTGTAACCACATTTTTTTCCTTAGAATAACACAAATGCTAGAAGATCAGCACTTAACTCATCAGCAACCCTACAAAAGCTCCCCCACACAGTCAACAAGAGAAGAGTTCAGGTGAAACTCTCCAAGTGGTTATCAACAAAAGTGAAAGAAAAAAGTCATTTCACATCATTATGAATACACTAAGTCTTTGGAAAATGGGTTAATTCCCAGCTGGGAAAGTTGTGAAAAACAAATATTCTTAATAGTCTTCCTATACAGCTGTGAAGTTACTTGAAGAGAGCTTCTTGCAGCAGGTGAGTTGGGATACACTCT